CGCAGCTCGCGCGGCTCCTCCGCCGCGAGCCCGCGACGGCGCCCGAGGCCGCGGACGCGCTGGCCCGCGCGGCCGCGTTCTACGCGGGCGCCGCGCGGCGCGCCGCCGCCGCCGCCGCGGACGCCGCCGCGCCGCGCGCGGCCGCCGCCGCCGCGGACGCCGGCGCGGACGCCGGCGCCGCGCGCGACGCCGCGCGCCGCGCGGACGACGCGGACGACGCGCGCGCGGCCTACGGCGCGCGCGCGCGCGCGTGCTGGGCCGACGTCGCGCAGCTCCTCGAGGCCGGCGGGCCGGGCTTCGGCGACGGCCGCGAGGCCGCGCTGCTCCGCGCGCTCGCCGAGCACGCGGACGCGGCGGCCCTCGCCGACGGGCCGCGCGCGCCCGCCGCGCTCCGCGCCGTGCGCCGCCTCGCCAAGGCCCGGGCCGCCGCGGGCGACCACGCGGGCGCGGCGCGCGCCTACGGCGACCTCGCCGCGCGCGCCGCGCGCGCCGCGGGCGCGGACAGCGACCTCGCCAAGAAGGCGCACAAGGCGCGCGTGGAGGAGGAGGCGCGGGCGAGGCTCGCGCGGGCCTAGGCGCGGCTGGACCGGAGAGCCGCGCGCGCGCGAGGGACGGCGCTCGCCCGCGACCACGTGCGAACTCTGCCGGGGGGGATAACGGCGTGCCAGTGGCGCCCACTCGCATCGTCAACTCAGGCGTACCGCGGGGGAGGCGGCATAACCGCCACGAGTACCGTGGTCGACACCCGCCGCCGCAATCGTGATGCTCATGAGTGATGACCGGCTTAGGTACCGCCGAAGTCAAAAACGAGAGGTCCCCTGCTTTTCCCACGCAAAGCCGGTCTCCCCGCCTGCGAGTCGTCGGCGCTGATCGCGCGCACGAGTCGCTGAGTTCGACGACGGCAGCGGCGACGCCGCAGCGATGAGCACGTCCTGGGCGGGGCGGCCGCATCGGACGCGCGTCGCGCGGCCTGGCGGCAAGCGCGGCCTCCCGGAGGCCTCAGCCCGGGCTTTAGTTTTTAGAGACGCATCTTGAAACGCCTCTTGAAGTGCTTGCACAAACTCGCTAAAGAGCTCGTGGCTTGTGGCCAGAACGCTCGTGATGGCGCTTTCACTGCCGTCGCGCGCGGCGGCGCTGGCGGCGCGGACGCGCTCCGCGGGACGTCGGGCCGCCGCGCGCCACTACAACTTCGGCTCGTCGGAGTACCTCGCCTGCTTCGGCGACCTGCCCGTGCCCGACGGCGCGCGGCTCCGCCGCGACGCCGTCGCCTACGTCGAGGGCTTCGACGGCGGCGCCTGGCGCGCGGACCCGGCGACGACGCTCGTCCGACGAAGCGGTGACCGACGAGAGACGTCTTCGACACGTGTTCGACGCGTTCGGCGACGTAACGGCGCCGCGCGCGCGGCGACCGAGGCCGAGCTCCGCGCGCTGTCGGCGCACGTCGCCGCGTGGGACGGGCCGCGGGACGGCCGGGGGCCGGCCCGGGCCGCCGAGGCGGACCTCTTCGGCGCCGGCGCGGCGCGGCTCGTCGGCGACCAGGCCCTCGACTTCCGGAAGCAGGACGGCGTCATGGAGATCGAGGAGAGCCTGCAGGCGAGCGCCGTCGAGCGCCGGCTCACGGACGCGCTCCTCGCGGACGAGGCCGCGGGGCGCGTCGTCGTCTCGCGCGCGCCCGTCTTCGTCGCCTGCGTCTCCAACTTCTCCAACTTCCTCGACCTGTCGCGCAAGGCGCTCCGGAGCCTCGACGTCGGCGCGCCCGTCGTCGTGTGGAAACCAAATCTTCAACCCGACTTCAATGTGCGCGTAATCGAACGATTTGGACCAGACTCTTTCGCTGTGCTTCGAGAACTCGACGAGAGCAATCGATTTGTCCAAAAATCAGCCGAATCGACTTCGATTTGATTGAGATAGAGAGTTCTGAAGTTTTGGTCAGGACCCCCCAAACCAGTGGTTGATTTCCACACAGGCCCGTCGTCGTGCTGAGCCGCGCGAGCGGCGTCTCGACGCAGCACGGCTACCGCTGGGCGGCGGCGCTCCGCGACGCGCTCGCGGCGCGCGGCGGCGACCGCGGCGCCGTGTCCTACGCCTGCTGCGGCCTCGACGCGCAGCTCGCGCTCATGGCGGCGTTCCCGGAGGGCCCGCTCCACATCACGTGCGGCCGCGGCGCCGCGCGCGCCGCGGTCGCGGCCCGACCCAACGTCGTCGCGTCGACGGGCGGGCCGAACACGCTCTGGGCGCCGGCGTGGACGCCCGAGGTCGCCGGCGCCGTCGCCGCGTCCGCGGCCATCGAGCACGCGGGCCAGTGCACGGCGCTCCGCCACGCGGTCGTCGGCGGCGCGACGGCAAAGGACGTCGCGGCGGCGCTGCGCGGCGTCGGGACGGCGCCGGGCCCCGGCGCCGCGCTCGCGGCGGGCGCGTTCCCGGCGCTCCTCGCCGGCGCGCCGCGCGCCGCGCCGCCGCCGGGCTACGAGGCCGCGGGCGCCGCGGCGTTCGCCGTGCGCGAAAACCTCCCGCGCGGCGGCCTCGACGAGCACTGGCGCCGCGTCGTCGTCGACGTGACGGCGCCCGCGGACGCCGCGGCGCCCGGCGCGCTCGCGGACCTCGCGGCCTGGGTCAACGAGCACCAGCCCATCGCCCTCGCGGTCAACTGCGCCGCGGGCGACCTCGGCCCCGCGCTCGCGCTCTTCGAGGCGACGGCGCTCGTCGTCTACACCGTCGGCGTCCCCGGCGCGCCCGCGCTCACGTGCCAGGCCCGGCACGGGGCAGGAAAAGGGTGATTCAACGTCGCTTCAACGTGAGTGTTCCGCGCGCGCGCGTTCCGGAAAAAGCATCCACGCTTCGAGACCGTTCCGAAAGATGATCGCTCGTCCAAAAATCAGCCGAAACGAGTGGAAAACGACCGAGATCGGAGCCTTTGAAGTTGGGAATTTCGCACTCTTTTAGGCGCGGCCCCAGGAGGGCGAGGTCTTCGGCGAGGTGCCGCCGCGGCGCGACCTATACGCGCACACGCGCTTCCCCGTGCTCGTGCCCTCGGCGGCCGCGGCGTACTCCGCGACGTACGCGCGCGCGCACCTCGAGGCGTCGGCCGGCGCCGCGCCGCCGGCCGCGGCACCGCTCGTCGCCGCGGCGACATCGCGCGCGGCCCGCGGCTACGCGGCGCTCGTCGCGGCCTACGTCGCGGACTGTTGCGCGCGCGGGCCGGCGCGCGGCGGCGCGGACCGCGGCGGCGGGCCCGGGCGCAGCGTGCTCTTCGGCGTCCAGCGGCCGCCGCTCGGCTCGACGACGGTCCTCCGCTGCGGCGCGGCCACGACCTACGACGACCTCCTCCCGAGCCTCGTGCCCTTCGAGACGACGACCGCGCGGGACGAGTGCGTCGTCGCCGTCGACCCGGCGAACGCCGCCCTCCTCGCCGCGCTCGACGGCGCGGGCGTCCGCGCGCGCGTCGTCGCGGCCGACGACGCCGCGTTCGCGGCGCTCGCCGCGGGCGCGTACAACGTCGTCCCGCCGGACAGGCTCGGCGTCGACGCCGACGCCGCGCCCCTCGTCCAGCAGTTCGTCTCGCGCCTCTTCCCCATGGGCCACGTCAAGTCCACGACGCCCGACGACGCCGCGTTCTTCGCCGCGCGCGACGCGGCGTCCCCCGGGGCGCGCCGACCGCGGGCGCGACGCCGCGCCGCCGCCGACGCGCGTCGCGCAGGTTCGAGGCGTCGCCGAAGTGGCTCCGGCTCCAGGACTGAGGCCGGCGACGCGTCCGTCGGGGCGCTCGTCCCGGGCGCGCCGCGTTCCGGCGTCGCGTTCCGGCGTCCGCGAACGCGTCGTCCGGCGACTCCGACGACGCGTCCGGGGAACGCGGGCGAACCCGCGACCTGCGTCGACGTTCGCCGATGCGCCGATCGCGCGCCACTCCCACCGCGCGGACCCGGCCCTCGCGCGAAACATGAGCCCGATCCCCGACCTCGACTCCCGACCCGGCCGAACGGCGCCCGCCCGCCCGGGCGACCTAAGGACCACGACGCGGCCCCGGGAGTCGCGCCTAGCGGCGCGCCAGGTCCTCGAGGACCTTCTTGACCTCCGCGATCACCGCCGCCTGTCCCCCCTCGAGCGACGCGAAGGCCGCCTTGAGCTCCGCGAGCTCCGCGGTCACGCGCGCGAGCTCCGCGTCGACGGCCGCCGCGGGCGCGGGCGCGCCGCGGGCCACGGGCGCCGCGACGGCGGGCGCCGGCGGCGCCGGCGCCGGCGGCGGCGGCGGCAGGTCAAGGTCGAGGGACCCGAGGAGGTCCTCGGCCTCGC